GGACCCTCCTCTTCAAACATGGTGGGGATGAGTTGACCACTCTAAGCTAGAAATTGGAGCCCGCTGTGCTTCTGCTGCCATCGAGTAACTTAGTGTGTAGCCAGCAAGCTGCAGCCCTGAGATGCTCAAGTCCTGCCACTGAGCAGAGTAGCCTTCCCAGGAGAAGCCAAGCTTGCCCACCAGCTATGCCCACCTTCCTGGCATCCAAAAAACGCGGTGATCAGAGGAAACAAAGGTATGCCATCCCCAAAGAGAAAGTCAGTTTTCATCCTTCCCAGTTCTTCTCGGGAGAGGGCAGCTTTGCCAGTGTGTCCTGGCGCCACCGTGGAGAGGAGCCCAGTGATCAGACAAGGCAACCTCACACCGCTCATAAGGACGCCCGTGGCCGTTTTTCACTGTCACGTCAAGCCTGGCATCCTGCAGTGCCATCTTGACTTTTTTGACACTCCCTCACCAGGGATGCTCCTTCCAGTTGCCATGACAGCAGACCTTTTGGAAACAGCAAGGTGCATCCATACAGGTGTTTACAGGTAATCTCACTTGATAGAGAGAAAGGATATTTGAGGGAAGAAATGCTACGATGAGGAGAAACCACGTCCATCATATTAGACTATTAATTCAGCTCATTATCTAGCATCACACATGTCTCACTGCCAGGTGAAGGTTAATAGAAAGTTTACGAAACTTGGAATGCAATTAAGTCTCTGAGGAGCTGTAGCAGTTTCCATGGCAACCGAAGGGCTCAAGACCAGCCACAGAAGATTAATTTGAAGGCAAAAGTACATTAAAAATAGCTCTCCTCCAACGTTTCTCTTAACATCTTAGTATGGAATGGATCAATGACTCCACCATATAGAGTGGTGTTTACACACACAGTAACCACGCGGGCTTGTGGCAACCAATAGCCGTAAAATATTTTCCCCAAACGACTCAAGGAGTAGCAGTTTATTAGAATGTCAAAGGACAAAGCCCTTAAAAGTGTGGGTCCTTACTTAGGGTTATTCTCTGACTACTTAATGTCCCTCTCCATGTATTATGCATCCTCTTCATCAAAGCCATTTCTAACACCATGGCCATCGTGTTCTAACATGCACACCTGTTCACTCAGAAGCTAGTTCCCATTCAAAGTGAATCGCCTCTTCCGCCTAAGGACAGTCTGAAGCTCCTTAGCCTTTTGGTTTGTTGGGGGAGAAGGTAGGATCAACCCCATGTGCAAAGGAGAATCCTTTAGGAGAATTGCTTTGGGCACAAAGTCTCCCTGCTTGCAGGCAACACACTCAGCGTGCGTTGGCTGCGCTGCAAAAGAATAGAGAAGGCTGTCGCAATAGAATTTTGTCATTTGCTTATTGTTCTTCTCTTAGGGTTTCTCACACAAAGACAAGGACAGAACCATATTTCAGATTTCTGCTCCTGGGCTTCCATCAGTCTTTATCAGCCCCCTGATGTCATTAATCAGATTTAGGAATATTGGAGTGTGATTAGCTGTTTCTTTTTTTCCCTTCAGCATGTTTTTGTAACACTGGTTTTCAGCAGTTTGGTGCTAATCATCTTCATTATTTAAACTACTTGCCAGTTTATTACAATGTCATCATACTTGTTGGCAGAAGATAAATAGATTCACATGCAGCTAAGGGCACATCTTATGAATGGAGGGTGTGTATGTGGATTTTGCGCCAGATATCAGGATCTTTATGCAAGCCAACAGCATTAGCACGCAAAGCAAAGCTTCCCCAGTTGAATTTTTAGTGGGTGACATTCAGCAGTTAGCAGCATCTGGCCAACCTTACCTGGTCTCAGAAACTAAGCAGGATTGGGCCTGGCTAGGCCTTGCACGGCAGACCATCAGGACATTCTAGAGCTGTAGGCTAGCCTGGGCACTTGGTAGGGTAGCAATGAAGGCTCTAGAAAAGATATTCAGATGCCAGTGTCTATGCCTACAAAGATCAGAATCATGTAGACAATTGTTTTCTATGTGACTCTCCATGGAAGTTGGATCTTAAAGAAGCAGCATAGCAAGAGTATTGATGGTTTTGAAATTGGATGTTGGAGGAGACTCCTGAGAATGCTATGGACAGCCAAGGAAAAATCACATGGATCATCAGACAAATCAACCTGGAGCTTTCACTTAAGGCACAGATGATCAAGGTCAAATCATTATATTTTGGACACATTATGCAAAGATCTTGAGAAGTCTACAGTGCTGGGTAAGATGGAAGGGAAGAAGAGGATAACCACCAGTAGGGTAAATTGACTCAATTACAGCATCATGGGAGCACCACTGAAAAACCTGAGGGGCTAGACTGGGGACGAAAGGTCTCCCTAGGAAGTTGCTAAGAGTTGACACTGACTTGATGACACATAGTCAATCAACCATCAAGACTGGACTAGGATTTTTCTTAAAAAAAAAAAAAATCCTAGCAGAAGGCAATAGTGATCCACTATCATATTGCTTCCAAGAAAATCCCATGAGCCTGTTTGTAGAAGTTCATCTTCACTTGAAAGACTTCGATTTTTTGTGTTACATGTGAAAGACAATGTTCCCATGGATTGTCTGGGTCCAATCCAAGCAAGCTCAGAGTACTCTGTGAATTATCAAAAGGGGTGACCCAGGAGGACTTCAGGTAAAACATCATGAGAATCCCATTTAAGGCAAGTCCTTCTCACAACTCAGAATCCAGTGCAGGACATCACCCTCTCTGCGTATGATTCCTCATTGGCAGACCAGAGGAAACAGGATGCACGTCAACCGTTTTTTGTGTTTTAGAAATGTTTATTTTTCTTGCTCTGTTCAGTAATTTGGCCAGAGAGATTAACCTTGTCACTTGCTTTGAAAATTATCTGCTTTGGCTTAGTGTTATTGGAGATCTACTCTACAGGCAGCGGGCTTCCTTTGAAAAAGATTATGTCAGGTTAAAGAGAATTTCAATCTGACAGATAGAAAAAGGAAAAAAGGTATCTCAAAGGTACATAATGAATATGCTATTTTTGATCTATCCAGGCTAGCCTTGAAGTGGAGGGAGCAGAACTTGCTAAAGGAGAGAAAAAAGAGGATTTCATCCTTGTGTTGCCTTAGCAACAAGTAGATGCTTGGTCTCTTCCTGCAAGAGTTGTCAGAACGAATCTGTCTGTCTACCATGGATTCTGATGAGAAGAGGCCATACGGAAGAAATGGAAGGGGAGGGGAATCCAGCCTGGGGTGGGTTCTCCTCCGGACTCTGGCCCCCTCTGCCCCCCACTTGCTAAAGCCAAAGGGAGCCACCAGAAGCCAGACAGAGAGTCCCTTGTGGCTTTCATTCTTGCGCAGACAGAGAAGGAAAATTCCCTTCTTCCCGCCCATCGTGCAAATCCAGCAAGCACTCAGCGCAGGATCAGAATGGAGAGGGCTATGCTGGAGGAGGTGAGGGTGTGCCACTGGGACCGTCCACTGCACTAAGCCATACTTATGGCTGACAGACCACAATGCCCTGGATCTCCACGTCAGAGCAAGAAACACCAGCGCACACTTTTACAGAACTTAAAGAGAATGAAGAAGAGATGTCAGGAGAGAAAGACGACGACGTGGCTCGGGTCCCACCCACTAGCCCCTCTGACCTTTCTCATCACTGGTTCCAGCTCTCAAAAGTGTATCACTTAAGGGAGAAAGAGCTTCTATTTTAGTTTAAAAGGGGGTGTATTTCCAGCATGTAGCGCAGAGTCACTTTATGGATATACTGTGGAATTTTGGGTGATGCTTCACCTCAAACATACACGCATCTTATGGCCAGGATTTTCAACTTGCCAAGTTCCAGTGGAATTGTCATTCCTTGGCAGTTTATCCGGCTTTCCAGAGTTCAGAGTTCAGCCACGGCAGATGACCTTCTCCTAAAAACAGCAGACTTATCCAGCTGCTAATCTACATGCGGTGGCACATTAGTAGTTTATGGAGAGCAATCTAAGGCCCACATGCCCCACCCCCCAATTCTAAGTGCAAAATACAGAATTTTAAATCTTGCTCCATCGTGAATGATGGGGCCTACTTTCCTCCACTGCACCTGAAGGAACAGCCTTCGATCATTCACTGGCCTCTGCCCCCTCGGTTTGTCTACTAGTATGACTGACACTGCCTTGGAATTTGGTCCAGCTCTGCTGTGACAGGGTCATGTGGAAACTACTCCTGAGCTCCTTAGCTTAGAGTGTCTGTTGCATCCATATAAATACACCGAGCAGCAAAACAGACTGCAGGAAAATGCAAGTATGCGTATCTCTATTGTGGGTCGGAAATCCGTCCTTCAAGATTTATAAAAAGTACTGCTTTTGGAAGAACAGCCTACACCAAGTCTCCCTTCCTCTACTTTGCCACATTGGTACAAGTTGTCTTGTGATGTCCGCAATAGTAGTACCTCAAGAATTGTCGGCCTTTGAGGTAGGCCAGGTCAAGAAACAGACACCACAAGAACTATGGGAACTCTACTTTATTGTTACAGGGTATAAAACAAAATCTTGAAAGCTGACAGAGATTCCTTCTCCCTCCTTTTATACCAGTGAAAATCAAGGTGGGACAATCTTGAGTTTCTTTCTCATGTACTCCTCCCTTCCAGGGCTAGACTGGTGTTTATCTAACAACTGGTGAATTTCTTCTTTAAGGCCATTTCCATACTCCTCTACAAAAGTGATCCAAGCAGAACTAAGGAAAGAGTGAGATGGCATTAGCATAAGGCTGCTCCCCCCCCCCCCCGCCTCTCGTATGTTAGTCTTCTCTTCGTCGTACATACTGTG